GTATTCAATGTATTGTGTATAACGATCTTTGTTTATATGACAATATGTCTTAAGATCCATTAGGATCTATTGATATTTTAGCTAGAATACAAGTGGTCATGTCATACTTATTGAATAGTTTGAAAATATATGCTCTTTGATAAAACCAAATTTTACATGGAATGTACTCAAATTCTACTTTAAGATAAAGTTTGGTTGTTTTAAGTTTTATAAATTTGAAATTTTTAGTTAATTCTATTTTTATCTTTTTAATTTTTTTCTTATTATTCCTTACAATTAATAAGTCATCAACATACAAAAGTATGATAATGAATTTTCCATCTTGCTATTAAAAATGTTATTTGAATCAGCTTGGTTTTTTTTCATTTTTTGAACTAACAGCTATGAATTAATACATGCATATTAGGCTTTGAAGGCCTATTTTAAATCATGTAATGTTCATTATAATCTACATACTTTGATAGAATCTCTTATATCTTCAAAACTATCTGAGATTTCTATGCAAACTTCTTCATTCAGAATTTTATTCAAAAAATCTATTTATACATTTATCTATTTTACTTGCCATTTTTTTTGTTACAATTGACATGATGGTTATGAAAATTCACTACTATAAAATAGATACAAAAATAACAAAGTAGTTGATAACTTCTATTAATTGAAAGATGCATGCAACAATGTATGTTTACAATTTTTAAATTTCACTAGTGAAACCTTTTAAATTTTATAAATGTACTATGATATGATTAGAGTCTTATTTTTTAATTAATCCACGATTTTTAATATGCTATTTTGGTTCATGGAATTAATATTTTTTTACATGGCCTCAATATATTGGTTATGTATTGTTACTTCCATTGTCATATTACGTGAAGTTTGCTTGAGAATGCATTGGATATATAACTATAGAAAGAAAAGTAGAACTTGCAACAAGATGATCTTAACAACTCTAATATAATCTGAAATAAATTATAATTTAATTATAATAATGTTAATCAATATTTAATTAAATTCAAAAGAAATTTCAAGAATTTACAAAAAAATATTAAAAAATAATAAATTATTATTAATAAGATATAAATATATATATATATATATATATATATAATATAAAAATATTAAAGAAATATCAAAAACAAATATCCTATTTTAATTGTAATGAAATCCTAATGTAATCTTTAATAAATTTTAAATAAATCCTAAACCAATTCAAAAAAAACTTTAAACCAAATCTGAATGAAATCGTAAAGAAATCCTATTCAAACTCTAATAAAATTCTAATCAAATCCTAGTCAAATCTTAAATCCTAACCAAATCCTAGACAAATCCTAATGAATCTTAATCAAGCCCTAAATAAAATTTAAATCCTACAATAGATTAAAATATCAATAATTTATGATATTTAGATTCAAATTTTGCATACTTTTTAATAATTTAGTTGAAAAAAAGCATAAGAAAATTGAGATCAATTACACTTACTTATTGAAAGAAATGTATGATAATCTATTTAGATGTTGGATGGTTTCTTTCTCCAACCTTGATGCCAAGCTCTTAGTACCAATATCTCTTTTGTAAATTATTGAATTGCTCTTAAAATTTACAAAAATGTTAAAAAATCAAGTCTTCTATCTATACAACTAATTTTTATTTCAATCTAATAGATAGATTGCTAAAAATCCTAAAAGGTCCTACTAACCCTCAAAATCCAATTTTTAAGACTTCAACCTACTTGAACTTTAATAACATTCAACCTAACCATTAAATTAAGCTTAAATTCATAATACATATTTAATTTAATTATATTTATAAATTTACAAATTTTCACTTATAGATCTACTATAAATCTCATGAAATTTTTCAAAATATCAATCCTATTTTATTTTACAAAATCTAGAGTCACCTACAACAACCATGGCTTTAAAAAGCTCTTACAAAGACATTACAAATTCAAATCCTTCAAAATTAACATATAAAAAAGTCTAACTTTGTTTGCCCTCAAATCTTGCTCTTCAATATAGAAAAGAACCTTGGAATCATTGTAGGTGCATAGATTTGTGCCTTAGGATTTGATTTTGACCTAGGTTGACAACCAAACCTCTTTGAATATCAATTTTTAATAATTTGAGGTAATTTTTATTTTAATCTATTTTAAACTCTCTTTTAAAAATATCTATATAAATTTCTTATTTCATTTATTTTCATATGGCTCATTTATGTTTCTACAAAATAAATAGAAATCTCTTCTATAAAAAGATAGCATTAAGACAAAAATTCTTACTACCTTCATATTATTTATCCTTATTTTTGTATTATATCTTTCTACAAAGTTCTTCTATAATAACATCCATATTTTTATTTTTTACCATAAAGTCATATTATCACATAACACCATGAAGTTGAGAGGCTCTTTTGTTATTTCTATCATAAGTATCTAGAAATAGTCACATAATCTTGTAGACAATACTTGCTATAATGTGAAATATTTATAGCTAGACTATTGCATCATTTCTTGTGCTTTAATGGATTATTATATGTTGCAAAGCTCAATTGATGCTATCATACTTGAGTTGTTATTTATATTGGATATCAAATATGCTAGATTGGTTTATCAAGAGCTCTATTTGTTTACTCTCTATTTTGCCTAATTTTGACTATTATCAAAAATAAATATTGAGATTTTTGATTGTTTATTTTTAAATATAGAATTGTTGATTTGTTCTTGATGATTAATATTTATATTAAATTCTTTAATTTTTATTTTATTATCAAAAATTAGAATTTATATAATTGATTAAAAAATATCTTCTGTAGTAGATTTAATAGTAAGTAAGTGGTAATATCCTACTTTTGTCTTATCAAAGAAAATGTTCCAACTAAATAGCACTATTTTTGCTTTTGGACTCTTCAATGCTATAATAAATTCCTCCTATTATTTTGATGTTTTTATTAGAATTATATTCACTCACTTGATTTACATTTTTTCTAACGCCAGTAACATGAATAATGGCTCTACTATCCATATACCATAATTAAAAATACAGAATATATCTATTAAGCTGAGATAGTATTATTTCAAAATTTTATACAATATTTAAATAAGATATTATATTGTTGGATCCTCCTCTATAATGATATTGAGTATGATAGTTGACTTGATTGGTGTATTCCTATGCAATGTAACCAAGTTGATTGCAATTGTAATAAATTGTATTTTTTCTACCACTAATATTACAATCAAAATCAAATTTTCTCTTTGCTCTTCAAAAAAGTTAATTCATAGTTTTGTTGAATCTTTGACAAGTGAAATTAGATCTAAAAAATTGACGTGAAGATGGTGCAAAGAAAAAGCCTCTAATCTATAGTCAAGTGGATGGATTGATATAAATTGATATGGCTTCTATATCTTCAAGTTGGACAAATTGATGTTGTTGTTGAATGGCCTTTGCCAGTAGCTTGGATATTAATTAGAGTTTAGGATTTAGGATTTAGATGACTTAAATTTATTGAGATTATGAAAAAGAACCAAGCTCAAAAAGATAACATTTGATCCAAGTTATTGAATATTTGATCTGATGCTTCAAAACTTCTTGGTAGGCGATTGAGCATATATTGATATATACTTTTGTTGACTACTATTATTTTTATTGTAACTATTTTATTCTTGATATTAATCACCTTGTTAATATAAATATCTATGGAGCCTCTTTTAGATATTTAAAGTAGTATAATTAATTATTCAATATCAAAATTTATTAGTGGCTACTACAAGAAAATTTTAAATCAAATGCTTTCAATGCTAATGTTGGATTTATAAAAGTTGACATAAAATCAAGTAGTCTATTGCAAACTAATAATTGAATTACCAAGAGTTCCAAGTTTTTGGTCTTCTTTATACATTGCTTCCTATATAGACTGCCAAGAATGATGGTAAAAAAAATTTGTTGGTTATATATGATTTTTAATGAAATACCATATATTTTTTTCGTTTAAAATTGCCATCATTTTGATTGACCATATGTAGTAGTTGGAGATTCTAATTAGCTTGTTGGTCTCTTTGACTGATATATCTCCATGACTTCTTATTTTTATCATAGTAACTATATTACCTTATTTTTTACTTCTCTCAAACAACAAGAGAGAAACAAACAACACTCACTTTTGATACTTCTAACTTCAAAAACAATGCTCACTAGAAAAGAGGCATACTAAACTATTCTTCCTCTTTCTCAAATACCATATTGACATGTACTTTTAAATCATGCTTTTAGATTGAGGTTCTATATATTATATATTTGTACTTGAAATTTTGTACTCATTTATACAATGGTCGAACCAATAGTAATTGGTTGCAAATAATCTAATGAATATCTTATATAGATGAATGTAATTAAAGTAAGAACACTTGAGCTAAAAAGTTGCTAATTAAGTTATGTTTTTTTAAATATTTTAACAAATGAAATAAGTAGAAAGAGACTTAACATCTACAAATGATACTAAGAGTCACATTCCATGACTTTAAATTATATAGAATAGACTCTAGTTTGTAAGACAAATAGTTGTGTTTTTATTTTTTTTTATTTATTTTGTGATATTTTTCTATTATATATATATATATATATATATATTTAATGCTCCATTGACATTTAGGGCTCTAATACTTCTAAAACAAAGCAAGGGGCTCAAATATTAGTGTGTATATATATATATATATATATATATGTATACATACATACACACATACATACAGGAAAATGTTAAAATGACCCAAGCTTTTGTTAAATTGACCCAAATGTCTAAACTGCCTTGGACCCTTTCAATTCCCATCCCAGTTCCCCCAGTTCTCAGTCATTGCCCCCATTCCTCCCTTTGTCCAAGCCCTCGTCTCCGTTCCCCCAGCCCTCATCCTCGTTTCGGCGACGTCGATTCTCGCAACCCTGACTTGCAGATTTCTCTTCCGCGGAGGAGCTTCACGGATGAACATTTGGCTGTTCAGTGGTGATGCCAATAGCCAGCCTTTTTGAAACATGCAGTAGTCCATCCTCTATAGATGTGCCACATCAGATCCGGACCCAGACCAGTTGCAAGAAAAGATATCCACTTCGCAACAGTTGAATCAAATGTGATCATTACTCGATCAATTTCTTTCCAACCTGAACATGACACTTCTTCTCATCTGTGGTAATGAATTACAAATCAAAACACAGCTGCTGAGTTTTATTGGGCATGATGTACAGCAACGTGATGTGGAGGCATGGACGATGGAACAGTACATGGCAAAGAATGCTAGGCTCGAGGAGTGGAAATCTAGGGTAAGCAGTTCTCTTGCATCTCTTTACTCAGCCATAAAACTGAAGCATGCCTCAGAGCACATGTGTAGAGCACATTTGTGAAGTTGTAATAAACTGCACTGTTGCATGAAATTTTCAGGATGACAAGGAGTTAGGAGGAATTGAGGGCCACCAGCTGATGAACCGGTTTGACGACCACGATGTCACAAACAATTACGACAGCGACAGTGACTTAGAGACCTGTGAACCTGTTGTGTTTGCACATATGCCGACCGAGGTTATTGACATGAAGGTCTTATTACAACATCGTCAATTGACTAGGTTTATGGCTGCAAACATGCCTGCTGGTATCAATTCATGAATAGCCTTCAGTTTTGTACTTTATATTCACTGCAAGGACGAAGAAACGGATTCAAATCGGGTCACTTTCATCCTATCAGTATGGCATTGTTTTGTTCACATTGTCTGTTTGATCGAATTGACATCTGGCTAGCGTGGATCGTAACGTCAAGGCCGTTGCAGCTGTCGATGATCTTGGACCCGAGAACTCGACGTGTACTGGGATGGATTCTGAGTAAGCTTGGAAGCGTTTTGGCAGCCTATGATGGTGGCCCTATTAGGAAGAGAGGCGGAGGGAGAGAGAGAGAGCGAGAGAGCGAGAGAGACAGGCAGACTGGAATGGGTTCCAATCACCCCAGTCACCAATGTGTGCGGACTGATTCAAGGTCTCTACACACCGACATTCACAGCATGTAGCCCGCCCCCGCCCATGCCGCGGATTGTATATGTTTAAGGCCTACGGATAAGATTTCGTGATCATGTGTAATCTCTCGAGCGCATCCACGCCGTGTAGGTCTCGTCAGTCTTGTGGGGTCCGTGCAATTAGAAGCCGGCTATACTGTGAAGGCTAAGGCCCTGAGAAGTGTTCTTTGATCACAAGTTGAGTTCGGTTTCCCTTGGGTGCTAGCGGCTTCTTTGAAGTTAATTGTGGGAGTAGTCCGCAATTTTTTGTAAGGTATCAGCTTAATTGTTCCGGAGGTGATTCCATGATTAATTGTGAGATACAGTGGAATCATAGTCGCTCTTGGACTGACGCAGGCTCGACTTGGCTTGTTTGTTTTCACAGGGAAGAATAACCTAGCTAGCGTTCGGTGGTCATCCGTGGAGCTCCTCCGGGGAAGAGAAATCTGCAAGCCAGGGTCGCGAGAATCGACGCACTGACGTTGCGGAGACGAGGATGGGGGCTATTGGAACGGGGCAAACGGGGACGAGGGCTGAGAGAACGTGGAGAACGGGGGGAACGGGGACGGATGGAACGATGGTTTAGACATTTGGGTCAATTTAACAAAAGCTTGGGTCATTTTAACATTTCCCTATATATATAAATTTTATTTATTTATTTTATACTACAAACTCTAGCACAATGAGCATATGTTATAATGTGTTTGATTATTTGTTAGATTTTTTTTTTGTTTATTTTTTATATTATTTTAATATTTTTTAAAATTTCAAAGGTTTTTGTAAATTTCATGAACTTTCACCTTTATGTCTAGTATAATTGGAGATAAAGATTAATTTTAAATTAATTATTTGGAATATTTACTTATTTACATTGCTTACTTATGAGAATCTATTTTGAGAATATAACTCATTTTTTGTGTTATTTAAAATTTTATCCATTATTAATAAATTTTATGTTGTTTTGAATTTGGATTCATGAGTTGATTAACCAAAAAATTATAATGCTACCATGATATTTCAGAAATTAATTGAGAATGTTCTCTTAATCAAGTTTTTTTTTTTTTTTTTTTTTTTTTTTGTGTGTATTCATATTTTAGAAGTTTATCTATAAGGTTTATTAGATTGATAAAATAATCTATAGATCTTAAAACTTCTCCCAAAAGCTTCAATAAGACCTAATTGATATATTATAAATAAATTTATAATACAAGAAATATCTTAGTTTGGCTAATGTAAATTTTAGAACAATCTAAGTGTTGTGTTATTTTTAGTCTTGTAAGTAGTCTTGTAATTATTCTTGTTTCTATTTTTGTTTTTTGTTTTTTTTTCTTCTTTTGATTCTCTTTGTATATATTATTAACAATTTCACTTTGGAAAATAATATTAATAATAATTCGATTAATTAGATATTAATACTAACAATTACACCAAATTATTTTTTAGAAGTGGTTGAGAGAACCTTGGTACCTTTATAAAGAAATAGAAATATATTTATATGATTAAAACTTACAAGTGATACTCTCTGCTAGTTTAGCACTAAAATAATGATTTTTTAAAACTATTTATATCAATTTTTTTTGTTATCTACTGCTGCCACACTTTACATATTTAAGAATTTTATATGATCTAAAATTATAAAATTAAATAAAAATATCTTTATGATTACCAAAAAATAACTTTTCTTTGATCAATGAGCAGATTTGACTTATATATTAGTCACTCAAATCTCACCCTCTCTTTGAGCAAATTTGACTTATATAAGTTTATATTAGACTTACAAGTTTATATTAGATTTACATAATTTTTGCATCTTGTCAACCTAATTATTCTATATATTTATATATTGATAATATAATTATAACTATATTGTAGTTATATAATACATTTCTTCTATTCCAACATTAACATCAAAGTTAGAACAAATCATTGCCAAACATATACCCACTTGGCTTTCTAATACATAGGCTAACTAAAAAAAAATTACCACAAAAGCATGTGAATTGATAACCTACACACAACCAAATTTGAAACTTATTGCTCATTTGTATAAAATCATTTACACTTCCCATGAACTAGAAAAAAAGTATGCACAACTAACATCTCAATCCATGTACAACTACACCAACTTTTTAATCTAACTCAACATTTTACTTCTTTCATTTTATTTTTTTTCCTCTCTATCTACATAAATAAATATATATATATATATAGAAACACACATGTGTGTGGAAATGGAAGATCTGGAACCTTGGCTGCCACCAACCAGCAAGCGTGCTGCAGCATTCGTAGTAGTAGTAGCAGCTGTGTGTGTGTGGGAGGCGCCCATGCAAGCAAGCAAGCAAGGCTGGGATGGGAGGTTTGGGTGGGAGTTTGGGTGGGGGAGAATGTGTGTGTGTTTGTGAGTGTTTGTGATGCGGGGCCATGTATTTGTCGATGGATGTTTTGCTTCCTGGTCAGTCAAATTCAGCAGGGAGCTCTGGAGCAACAGTAGCTGAGAGAGTATGTGGGAGAGAGAGAGGGTGAGAGACCTTGCCTGCCTGCCTGCCGTTTTTTATTTTTTATTTTTTAAAATTTTTGTTGTTCCTATGTTGTTTGTTTTTTCTTTTTCTTTTCAACGGTGGCCGTGCTCTTGAGCCCCGTGCAAAGGATAATGCGGGAAGATTCTCCACCAGGGCTCACTCTCGCTCGCTCGTTCTGCCTCATCTCTGTCGCACTCTCTGGCCCTTCCTTGTTCCTGACTGACTGAATTGACTGACTTCCTGACCTTGCTTCCTCAGTTTCCTCCTCCTCCTTTGCCTGGAAAGCAGCAGCAGCACGGACCCAAGCTGTGCTAACTCCACCGTTCCTTCGTGACCCCGCCTAGACCAACCCACACTCACACCCACACCCCCCACCGTCTCTTCTTCGCATCTGCGGAATAGAACACTTGATGCACTGAATCCTTTTGATATATATATATATATATATATCGTTTCTTTTTTCGTCAAGAAACTCTTGGTCTTCTAGCAGATGCTGGGTCAGCTAAGAGGATTACTACAGTTGAATTCTTGTTTGTTGTGTTTTTTTCATTTTGTTTACTTTGCAATGAGTGGTTTGTAGGGCAAGTTTCACATCTCTCCATACTATGGTCTCGTTTTAAATAAATTGAAGTATTTTCTTTGAGGATAGCACAATCCGGTACCACCCAGGAGGAATCACGGTGTATATATTTGGACTCTCGAAATCAGACTTTGCAATTTTATATCGCTTATTAGTACTATTGTGTGGATGCCACTTCAATGTTCTAAATAACACGTTAAAATAACTATTGGCGGATTCGAAAGAAACGATGCAAATTTTCCACTACCCATACTGAATAATACAGCAAGGATCACATTCCACGGAAACTGAACTTCTATTTCCGCACATTGAAAATGAGAGCGGAGCTTGCAAAAATCAGGATTGCGTGTGAAGATCACCATCCGAATTATCTTCCGCGTGTGCACATGCTTCCTTTTGTCGAGTCTTTTCCTTTCAAGACTGCCCAGCAGAGCAATTTCAACTCTGAAAGTTGTTACAGTACAATTTCCCCAACCCATCTCCTGCCTCAAAAATCTCCATGCTCTTTTGAGCGTGGATCCGAGAGTACGCAATCCCATCACAAAAAGTTAATGACCATCTTTTGAAATGCACCATCGGTCCATCTTACACACACACCCTGGAGTCTCGAAACTTATCGACATGTTGGAGCCGTCGATCGAGCCAATGCATTTCCCCTATCGAAAAGGGTGAATGGTGCCTGAGTTCTTCTTGCGAGGATTTTTCGCTGGAAAAGGGACGATCTCCGGTGAAAGGAACCTTGATTTTTGTTACACAGGGCATGTAACTTTTCCTTTGAGAATGTAACGATTTTTTTTTGCACCACCGCGTAGAGGGGGAGTATAAAAGCTTGCGGAAGCCTGCACTGCCCTGTAAGCAGCCTCGGCGCTCCTTATCCTTGCCTTCCCTGCAAGGAACTCACTCGCAGACTGGCGTCGTTCTGTTGTGTTGGTAGTCGTAGCTACTCATCTGTCAACTTGTTGGTGGTGCAGCCTGTTACGGTTCCAGTTTTGTTTTGTTTTGTTTTGTTTTTGTTTTTTTCTTTTCTTTTCTTTTCAAAAACAATTTCCTTTCCCTCCTGTGTCTTGGGTGAGTGCTATGTGAGCTCCGCATGATTGGAATCTCGTAGGATTCTTGACCACGATAGCCTATTCCTCACGCTGGAAATCTTTTTCGGAGGATTGAGGTGATTAAGGTGTGAATTTAAGCGAAATTGAAGAAGAATCTTCTGTTGAGAGGGAAGTGAACTATGGCAGTAGTGTTGAGGAACTTGCCAACGTGTGGACGCGTTTTGTGCCCTTCGGGTGCAGCCACAAGAGTGTGGTGTGGAATCGAGCCGGGAAAGCTTCCGAAAAGGAATGTGTCCCTCTTCCAAGCTCAAGAGTCGTCATTCTCTAAATCTAATACCAGTGTCGGTTTCCCTCAGTCTGTCGATAATCTAGCTCGCTGCCAGGCTTCTGCTACGACTTATCCTCTTCCATCTAGGCAATCGGTTGGGATTCTGGAGTGGCCAAGAGTGGAGGAGAAATTCACTCCAGAGCTGCGCCCTGATACGATTGACCAGCATGCAACACCTCTACCGCGCTCTGTGTTGGCTGAATCAGTGCAGGGTAACCTCGTGGAATGCTGCGGCAAAGGAAGTCGTCCTTTGTACACCAACGTGCTTCTAGAGTTCCAAAAGAGTTACACGGACACCCTCCCAAAGGAGGTGCGCTCGCAGGTGGACAACGCAGCGGTGAAGATGGCCTTCGAGGCCGCGCTCGAAAATGCTCCCAGCAATGCCCAAATTATTTCGGACTACGCGGCATTTACATGGAAATCGTTGGGAGATGTGGATGTGGCAGAGGAGCTGTTCAACAAAGCCCTGGAACTGGCACCATTTGATGCCAATATCCAGGCCAGCCATGCGCTTTTCCTATGGCAGTGCGATGAGTGAACGCAGAAAGGCTTGGAACTTGTCAAGAGCAGGCAACCTCTCTATATGTAGATTATGTATATAATGGGGTAGAGATGCGAACGCGGTGAAAAGCGGCACAGGAGATTTCGAGCGGGATCGATGAATCGCCTAAACTCAATCGGGATATCTCGGTGATTTCAATACTCCCTTCGTGGCAGATGGGAAATGAGTTTACGGAAAGCATCAAGACTGGCACTGAGTGTAACATAGATATGCGGGAAAGCTTATATGAAACTTGAGTGCAACGATGGCAACCAGAAATGCAATGCTTCTCGTCTGTACAGATTTTTAAGCATAATAATGCTGGAAATGCACATGAAGATGTCTTGCTTCTGCTGTTGTCATGGTGGATTGCCCAGTCTATAGGTCTTTTGTGGATACCAACATCGTATGAGCATTTTCAGCACTAGTAACTCTCCGTGTTCACAGGATGCTTGTGAATATTATTCAGCCATAGACGATGTGTTCGGATGGACTCGTCAAATCCATAAATTATCTTCCGGCATCTGATTCACTGCCGAGTCTCGACCTGTAAGAACAATATGTCTGATTATCGCTGTTGATCACTCGAGAGCGACAATCTAAACAACAGCCGAACACTGCGTCGTTGCCAGCGCCTGTTCATAGCCTCTGACGATATGAAAACGAGACTCCTCAACGTCTGGTACTCTTCACGTGTAGGTTAAAAGTTGCATGCAATCGACTTGGGTGTGTACAGCAGACACTGTAGAGTTAATGAAGAAAAGAGAAATCTACTCAAATTAAAGTAGAACCACTTCAACTACCCTCAGGTTGGAAAGTGACCATAGTCCAGTAAATCCTTAATAACTGAAATACAATTCAGATTTGTAGGTAATTGATCATGGCCAGCTTCAACAAACTAGCAAACTCATGGTAACCGTGTCCAGAGATTAGCGTCAGCGTTTCAAAGCACCAAAAAACCCATCAATCTCACATCCCAGAAACAGCGTTGATAGCTGATACCATTATCACTCCAGTGAGTATCTGCAGTCAACCAGTAAAATTGTCGGATACGAACCCTACCATGCATTCCCATACATTACGAAAACCATCATCTTTAACATGACAGAGGTTTCATTCCACCCAAGTCCTAGATGAACAGATATTTGTCACATTCCAACGCATGTACAAAACACCCAACCAATTTTCACAAGTCAGTATTGTCACTTAAAGTTGAACGAGTGGTTGAGGGATGTTTCAGTCAGAGAATTTATTTTAATGCACACAAAATGAGATTCGAAAGATCTCAACGTAAACACGAGCTGTTGCAAAAGGACCGTGGTATGAATCAATAAGATAGGAACATTGATCAGAGCGATATTCATCGTAACAGTGGTTCACAGACAGGGAACTGGAATTAGTGATGCCTGGATTGTGGTCTAGTAGCCAGTTCTGCAAAAGCGACTTTCTGCGTATTCGAGTGGAGACCGTATCCCTGCAATTTTCCAAAAATTACGATATCGTATCTAACAAAACGGACAAGGCCATTGCAGTACAATACAGAAATATCTGTGAGGCCACCAACTGAAACACCTCAATCAGAGCAGACACGGCAAGGTGGCCAACCACAATCAAACTGACCGCGCCCCCTCTTAGTTGCCAATGGGCTGGGCACCGCTCATCACTAGATGTCCTGCAATCCATTATTGCAATCCAGCCAAGACCCCGCCAGACCCACTTTCATGTAACGGACGGCTGAGTGCCCCTGGTCAAATATCGCATCCAGTCCGCGACCTGTACCACCCTTGGCCCTGGCCAATGCTGTCCATGCGAGTCCCACATCTGCCCAATCGCGACTCAGACCCAACCACACACTGCGTCTTCTTCCTCGCAACTTGTTTCCGACGATCGCTCTCAATTGGTACAAGTTGAGGGTGAGTATCGATCGCTACACGATGAATGAATCTGGTTTCCAAGGCTGGCAGTCACGCGGATGTGAACCTTCCGTTGTGTTCACGCGCACATGCTCCCTAATTGTTCGCTGCAATAGACGGTGGGCAGCGAATTGCTTTTCCTTGTAGCCTGGCCCACACGGAGCTGGGGTGATGCAAAAGAATCCGGAGTATATATTAGCCGTTCCTCAGCCGTGGTCTCAGAGGGTCCTCGGGAATCGCAGTTCGGTAGAAACCTTGTGTTGTTGGTGCTACTACTAAGATATGCTCCGATTGCTGCTCAACTGAGAGTGTTGAAGTCGGATCGCAGACATTGGGCCCCGCGCTGTTTAATACATCGGAATCTCTTTGTGATTGTCGAAGTGAACAGAGGCGTGAGTAGGTGGTCTTCAAACTTTGACATTGAGGCTTTTTTAAATTGGGGGAATTTTTTGAGTCTTTTGCTTGTCATTCGAGTAGCCGCCACTATGGCTGTGGCCGTGAGAGTTGCCAGTGCCTGGAAGGTCTCCTCCACCGCTGTTGCGCGGTGTTGGGGGGAGCCTGCACGGATTGCTGAACGATTAGTCCTGCATTCGCATAATGCATGCTCTTCTTCACCTAGCATGGCCGGCGTTCCACCCCTTTCCAATCCTGCTGATTCCGCAGTGCGCTGTCAAGCGGCTGTTTTGACGGCTTCCCGTGAAACAGTACAAGACACAGTGACTGAAAGAGAGGCAGAAACGAGGTTTTTGGAAGATGCTAGAGCTGCTCTTCGCGGTAGCTTAGAAGCCGCATCGGTCAGTGGAAGAGCTGAGTGTCATCACCATGAAGAATGTCGACTTCTCCTGGAAGAGCCAAGTCTGATGCCCATCGCAATTGCGGAACCCACTGCAGAGATTTTCCATCCAGAAAGCCGGGTGTACTACGGCAAAAGGGGAGGTGGAGATGCAAATGTAGGTTTAACCACCGCGAAGCCCCTGACTCCGGCAAACTCTTCACAAGACAGAAGCGGAGTGCTAGCCAGTTTCGAATCCGCTCTGCAAGAAGCTGGTCGCAACGCTGACACGCTTTCGAAACTGGCAGTGATGGCATGGCGAAAGCTGGGAGACGCCGACAAGGCAGAGGAGTTGTACAAGCAAGCGCTGCAACTGTCACCAGAGGACTGCAACATCCAGGCGAGCTACGCTGAGTTCTTATGGCAGTGCGACGTATAAGTGCACGCATCCTAACAGATGTTTGCGCATCTGATAGAACATGGATCTGTCTAGAATGTTGCTCATGCAACCCTATTTTACAACTCCCGAGTTTAAGTACCGAGTAGAGGGTCATCAACACGTCTGTGACAGCTGAGGACAACATTCTTCACTCTCATCCCCTAAACGTTCTGATATCAACAACAAAAACTGATCATCGGTTCTTACTCGAAAGTGCACGGACTCAGTCATGAATTTGAATTGTGAATACTTAACCTTCATTATTTATAAAATACAAAGGTAGAGATGTGCCAAGACAGATAGAAATTTAAGTATAGACATTAGCTTTAGGAGAAAAAAATCAAATCAAGCCTTGCTAGCAATTACAACCTTTGCATCAAGGAACTTGCTTCTCCAAAAAAAAACTTAAATAAAAAAGGCTCATCATGACTTAAAAAATCTCTTCGGCTCTTCAAATTTTCTAGAAATTTCAACAAGTTCTTAATAACGAGGCTTTTTAGCATCTATAAATTCCAATCAAAGGTAGAATTAAGTTTAGATAATTTTAATAAAACCAAACATATCATATATATATTTATACATATATGTATATATATTCTCATTATTTTTTATTACTTCAATCAAATCAATCATAAAAAATATTACACAAAGATGCATTTTTTAAATCCAAGAAGTCTCATCTTGTATGTAAGTATAAAACTATATACAAATTTGTAGTTTTATGACCATCCACAAATTTGAGCTTGGTAATCATCTGTTTGGGATCCTCTTTGATCAAAGATGTCTTTACAAGTGTATCCAATTGCCAACCTATGATTCAAACCTAACACAAATTTGAACTTGGATTTTATCTAGATTTGATAAGCCCTTACAATGTGCCACATTGTCTTTTACACATAATAAATGTACACATATCCATACTCCATGATTAACTACTATAGATTAGAAACTTGGATTTTTAATGACTTTGATAACTTATTTGAAATAAATAAATTTACATGTATAGATTAGAAACAAATTTGTTGGAATTATTGTAATATTTGGTTGGCCTTCAATTGTCTAGTCAAATCCAATATATTTTATGTTATAATTTATAAACAAAACAAATAGGAGATGATAATTCAAACTCATTATTTAATAATCTAAAATATCTTTCTATTTTTTTTTAATCTTTACCAAAACTTAATTAAATATGCATAATTATTAGCAATAATAAGATCAAATTTATTTATTTCTTAAAAATCTTAAACGCATAAAAAAAATTAATCTAGTAAGACATAATAAATTAAATGTTCTATAATCTTTACAAATGTAATAATTATATATTTTGAATATACATAGAATGGTGCATTCAACCCAATGTAGACAAGATTTTGTTATTCAAGCAAGTAATACATCCAAGAAATCTTAACTCCTTTTCCATTCATCTGCTATATATGTCATTAAATTCAAATCTTCTTTAATTTTCATCTTGTTCTTTAAAATTGTTTACTTTACAAATCATCTATATCAATTTTCATGCTTAATTACATAATTATATTGCATTAGAATACATAGAAAATGTGAAGTTTGTTCTCACCTAAATTTGAATGTTAGATTTAAAATTTAAGAGCAACACTGCAGCATAAATCTGAGTGAGTTATTACAAATTATTACCTATTATTATATTCAAACATTCAAATATTAATCAACTCATTTTTTTAGCATTCTTTTAGAAGTTTAGTTTGAAGAAAGCATTATCATATATTCAAAAATATTCTACTAGCTCAGTTAGGATACCAATAGTAATTCTGCAGATTACTGATTTTTATTCATCTATAGAAACATACTTCAAGTTACACAAAAAAGTAAAATAAAAATGGCCGAACCATTACTACGTTGATAGATTAAACTGATTTTTTTAAAATAATAATAATAATAACAACTTCAAGATTGATAAATAGCTCGTATTTTACAAAAACAACTTACATCAAAGATTTTCTAATTCATACGTAAAGGACTTTGACTACATTGATTTCGTTTCAACCATCCAGTTTTCAATGAGTAACAAAAATACTATTTGAAAAAACTCATTTGAAATGTACAAGGAACAAAATTGAAGGTTGTGAAAAGTTCAATGTCAAACGTAAATCCATCAAATTGACAATAACGACAATGCAAACAACATAAGTACGCATGCATGTCACTTTAAAAAACAATTTTAGAAAATCAACCCCCAAGGATGGTCACCTGTATCAAACTCATGCTTCAACAAACCTTTCATCATTCATGATATTAGTGATTCTAGTGCCAGAGTTACAGATCTTTTCGTTCCTTTTTTTTTCTACTCTTTATTTTCCTCCAAGTCTATCAGAATCAATTTTTTGTTGCAGCAGAACAAAAACAGACTTGTAGCATGAAGATGACTAGAACACCAAGATTGGTTTTGACAAGACCTCAAAGATGGAGATCCATTCAACAGAGCTTCTGATCACTCCTCCAGCTGAGAAATCATGTTCGTCAGAACTGCGAAACCTTGCTGCATGTCTGAAAGCAGACAATACTCGTTTTGTGCATGGTATGTCTTCATCAAGCCTGACCCAAGTAAAACACACAACCCACTGTTCATTCACTCTGAATACAGTACCACATGATTCACTAACACGTGAAATAAGTGTAAGCAAAGGGCGTTCACAGTTCTCTGGTCATGATGAACAATTCAGTGTCCGAACAACTAAAAGACTCAATACTCTGATCACTAGCCTGTGGCTTACGTTTCCCTCAATCATAAGTTCTCAAGATTGCTTCGTTGGAGAAGGAAATTCGGATCTGGTAAACTTAGAGCAAAGTTTGCAGTTTAGGTCACTCTGCACTTACCATATCCGATAGTCTGTACATCATAACCCTCGTCCTGCATTCAAAACAAACCATTTTTTGTTCTCCGATCAGATCTCAGAACTAGTAACAGCCTCTGGCTCAAATCTACAAAGATATCAAATCGATACATAGAGGGGGGGTATTTGCAGACTACTAAAAAATGATAAGCTTTGGTTGAACAGCAAAAAGCTATTATGAACCATACGCTAAGATCGAATGCGGACGAACGTCTTTAACCAGAGTTATATCGACCTAAAAACTATGGAAAATCTCCAATTCAAGCCTTGCCATCCAGTACATTGCAGATATAGATACAAGTTGGACCATCAATGGAGAGTGTGAATATGTGGACACATATGCGGTATTGATTTCCATCAGATGGCATTTGTTCGTACATAATGTAAGTGAATTATGTACCTGCAATTCCCGAATACAAGGAAGGGATCCTGTGATGGAATAAGGCTTCACATATCCCACGATCTCTTCTGTTGCTTTGCAAAGCGCATGAAACCCAGGTGAATCCAGATTACAGGCTACTCCAGAAAGAGCCGCTTCACCAAATTCCAGCGACAACCTGTCAATTTCAGTGCAATGTTAGGCAACTTAACAAAATCACTGGTTAACACCATATAACGACTGAAATGGGAACACAGTAATCACAATGCTGAACTAATATCAATAGACCAACAACCCGTAGACAACACGAAGAAGCTCTACAAAACTAAGAGTGTCAATACCAGGAAATCATAACATGTGCAGTTACTAACCTGCCCCTTATACCCAGCTCAAGTATATTATACTTAGAAACAGGACCACGTGAGTCTAGATCCTCAATATTAGCATTTATGTCTTCCACCGTAACTTTCAACCATTCGGCAACATCATCAACACTGCACTCACAAAGTAACAAGACATATCATTAATCAAAAAGTGAAACCCTAAAAATTACTAAACTGATTTCTAAGACTCCCAACCCCGGAGCTTTCCTACAAACTGTAAGTCCTACCGGTGCATCCTATTTGTTAGCACAGTGCATGTACCAAAATGCAATTCTTAAAAGAGGCCAATCCAGTCAATTGTTCGTTGAACGCAACATGAGAAATGACTTACTTGTAAAACGGAGTAATCCTGTGCAAAAGCCAGGCTAACCAGTCAGACATCACATAAAAAGAAATACAGAATAGACAATGAGAAGTATCAGAGAATTAGGCTGGTACAGTAGTTCAACATTAAGAATCTATCTCAAGAATGCTGATTTGGACCTAATTTCAACAAGTTACTGTGTACGAATGGTGAATCTCTTACACAAACATGTACGAATTAAAAACAATCAGGAGAGCACCTGCAGTCACCACATATTGTGCACTCTCCTGGAATCTGATTCACACCGCCTCCTGGATCTGTGCGAGCAAAAAGGCAACAGAGATTGCACTTCATAATGATACGAAGAAACATGCATTGTGGACATTCAGAAGTAACAACACAGTTCTCCCTGTCCAGACCGGTAAATGTAGAATCAGTGTACATGCTCGCTATGCAATATTGGGACCTTACATGACCACTGAGTCGGTTTCATCGTTGATGGTGTTGCAAAGCCATAGACAGCTTCCTTCGGGTGTGACGGGAATTGAATGTAAAATCGCTTTTGTATCTCCTTAAGCGCTTCCTGGGCCAATTCCATGGCGTTCACCGTCTGCAAGATTTCGCTATCAAGATTAATTAAACCAAAGTTCTCCAAGCTATCTGCAACAGAGATCATTGCTATGTATTAACAAGTGTGGAACACAACAAATTCCAGCAGCAGTTTACCTTGTGAGGAAAGCCACTATGAAAGAGCTTCCCTGTGGCAGTCAACTTCCAGCTCACCATGCCGCCGGTTCCAATACACGGTTGCTTATCACTTGTGTCCAGCCACAATCTGCGAAATCCCGGAAGATGGTAGTAGGTTCAGATAACACTTGTTCTTTTCGAAGGTCTGAATCACGCTCCTACTTGACAAGTATCAAAACATACGGTGTGTATTCTACGTATCATCTATGATATAAATTTTGCCTAGGTTCACGCAAGTGGTTTCAAAATTGGTTTGTCCCTTTTCCAGTCTTATTCCTAATTATCTAATATGTTGGAACAGATTTAGTTCTAAGATCCCCTCTTCAACATGATTTTGGTTTGGAAGTGACTTTCATTTGTAGCTTAGTAGTTGATTAAATACTATTCGAAGAAAAAAGTATATATATATATATATATATATATATATACTGTAACAAGATGTTTGTTAATATAGAAATTATTTTTCGCAAAATCTACTATCCTGCTAATATAGCTTGTTTTTTAACATAACAAATCCAAGTCACTGGCAAAAAAATACAGGCATCCAAAAACCCTCAAAAGACTCAGAGGACAGCTCAGACGATTTTTTTATTATTAGCGTACGTTATGAATGTACTTACAATGGACCCGATTTCAGATTGTCGAGGAACCCATCTTTAACAAGCATATCCACTCCAACACCATACACTGCAGAGTTTTCTTCGTTTGCAATGAAGACTCCCACAACTGTCATCTTGAGAGGCGGCCTTGTCTCCGCAAGCTTGCGAAAAAGCTCCGTCACCAATGCTACATGCCCCAAGCAATCCGTGGTCCCTCTACCTCGCAGCTTATCGCCATCTATGCTCAAGGAAAAGGGATCGAACTCCTGTCGAGGGGAGAAATGGTTAGTGAAGAAGATCATGACCCTGCAATATGCTCAAGAGTTGCAAAAAAACTGGTGCTCTAAGTCTTTTCAAAGAATACGACCTAAGACCACACCTTCGAACACTATTCACGTCAGAGAATTCTGGGTTTCACAACGTAAGTAAAAGCCTTTTTCAAGGTCTTGTTCCAGATTTTATACGTTGCAGAAGAGGACCCCTCTGTTCCGTGAATAGAAACACTTTCAATCAATTTGATATACAAAGAATACCACAAGGAGCTACTAGGGCAGAGAGAGAAAAATCCACAATAACAGAGGCGACAGTGCGAGTGGTATAGCAATTTTACACATGAACCATGAAAGACCATTCTGTACCAATCATCGTTAATTACTCTACAAGCAAAAGTTCCTCGTTTGTCAAATATCACTTTCTGTAAACAGACGAGTTACGAAGACAAGCGCAACATAAACTAGGTACGATTAACAACCTTTCCTTCCCTCCTGTACGAGGAGCTCATTCACTCCCTCTCAAAGAAAAATAGAGGTAGCCACGGATTCCATTTCCAAGGAATTAGCACATAATTGCAAAACAAAAATCACCCAAAAGTTGATAAAGCTTGCCGCACCCATTCTGCCGGATTAGCGGTGACGACGTCCATATGGCAGCCCACAAAGGACACCACTCGGCCAGGCTCCGAGCCTGGATACTCCACAATCAGGTTCCCTCGCCCCTTAACGTAGGTAATATGCTTCAACACCAGAGGCCCCCCTTGGTCCACGCTATGGGGGCCCAAAACCTCCAACACATGGCGCACGGCTCTGTCTTCCTCCGGCACGAGTTGGGGGGGATTGTTCTGTAAATACTTCGCCTCTCCGATTAGGTTGCGCAGCAGAGCGACGAAGCGATCGTTGTCCAAGCGCAGATCTTTCACCGACTGACCCATCTCTCCCTATTCCCAGAGTATTTCTCCGAGACCAAGGTAGCGAGATATCTCTCACTCGCACACAAGTAGCTCCCCACTTGTGCAAGCAAGTGTGTACGCTTGGAAGTATGTGTGTGTGTGTGATAGCAAGAAGGGACGTGATCATGGTGTTGTGCACTTTGCCTGGCGACGACGGCAGAGCAGCAGAGAAGCAGTAATTCCTTTCTGCTCTCACCAATCCCCCCCCCTTCAATTTCGACGGTTGTCTTCTTTACCAATTTTTCCCAATGCTTTTCGTTTTTTCTTATCTAGTTGTTTGCATACTTTAAGTATTTCATCTTTCGAGTCAAGCACATTTCCATTTTCATCAAATTACTGGAAATACCAGATTTTAGATTCAGTTCTTCCTGTATTGCGGGGGAGGTTGATTTTATCTTTTCGCACACAACCAAAACAATTTCGCTATGGTGAAACATGTGGCGGCTGTTCATCAGTAATCTTCAAAATAAATACAAATAAAGAAATAAATAAATAAAAGTGGTGAGGTTTGTCGTTGAACACCTCGAGTTTTGCTTTTGGGACCAGATGAGAGCACCTAAATAATAATCTGGAAATCGCTCCTGTTTGTTATTACTGGGACATTGAGGAAGTCGTTTTATCTAGTACACGTACGTCAGACAAATTTGCCTCGAGTTCTTGTCCACATTCAAAGCACACATGATCATGTCATCTTGAGAAGATACCACCCCCATGCCAGTATTCGTACGCATGTTTTATGCAAAAGCAAAGGATTAACCTACGCCACTCGCCTGAAACCTACATCATCGACAAGAAGGGCTTGTTAAAATGCATGATGCAGGCACCTCCATTGCTCAATGTCTCAATAGTGATGATGTCGAAAAAAGTAGATCAGTGACGGTTTGAGATAGCTGAGTGCTTGCTAACACCAAAAACAGTTCACAATTATGGAATTTCTGGTTTCGACAACATCCACTTCCTGCGTTACAGTTCAAAATTGTTCCTACTGCCGTGCTACAAAAACCTCATAGACACTTCTGTGAGCGGCTTGAGTGCTAGTCCGTTAAACTGCTTCAGAAGCCACGAACGGATCCTGTTGGGGCTTCAACTAAGGATCGGAGGCTAATAGGATAATAAGGAAAGAATCTATCAATGCCGACGCATTCAGCTCGCCTCTTTCACTCAGCATGTGGAAGGATAAATGAGCTTTGAGCTTCAAGTCACTGCCGCAATTCGAAGAAGAAACGGCTAAGCTGTTGAGCACCCACGAATGCAAGATCTGCTGCTAGGACCACTGCAAGCTGCACAGCACATTGGTTCATCCGAGGATTTGTAAGATTAAAACAATACTTGAATTTTCATTGTAACAATAGACAGCTGAAGTAACTGAAGTTCACTTTGGGCAAACAAAATCAAGACAAACTCGAGCAAGATCATGAGAGTAGCTGAACTAACATTTACAAGATGAGTAATTACACATCTATTCCAGTAGAATTATCTCATTAGCAGTATCCCAAACAGAGCAAGCGCACTACATCTTAGGATGTAAAGAGGCCTGTTAGAGTTGAACGAGTGTGCAACTAGAAAATATAACGAAAATTCTTCCACTCTCTCCATCATCTAGAACTCCAGCAGCAATGATTGCTGTGGACTATCATCAGGAATTTTGTGCCGGAATGTTGTCCAACTGAAAGATACAAGGACGAGCGTACCAGTCTTCCAAACAATGCAACACGGTAACCTAAGCCCTGTTTCTTTGCTTCCAACCTTTGAACGTCGGTCCACCTGCACCCAGGTTCCAACGAAACAACATCAGCAGAGTGCCTGTGACTTTGATATTCAGAAAAAAGGCGAAGCTAAGAAATTGCCCCCACATGGACTCTAATTCCTTCGTAGAAGGTGGTTATCTTGATCCAGCTATTTACAACTACCAAGAACATGTAGTCTTCAAAGATAAATTCATCACGTAAGTGGGGCTTCGACTGAGAATATGCTCTGCTTCAAAACTGTTGCAACTTGTTCATCTTATAGAATTAGAATCAAATCGAGATCAACGAACAGCACAGTTCACCGAAGTGGAATAGTGATTATAGATTGGAACAAGGAAGTAAATAGATTTAAGAAAAAGGTACTCTTCATTTTTCCAACACTTACCCAATGAATTCAGATACGCCGCCAATGCCACCAAAGTTGAATGGTAGGGGTCCTTCTTTCTCCAAATCCTATCGATCGTATACCAGTGACATTGAGAATGTCAATATTCAGTGTAAAAGAAACACGCACATTCGCCAAAGAGATTATATAAGTAAATAAGTTACTAAATTAATAAAGTGACGAAACTGGACTTCAGCATCCCATTCTCGGCCATCCAGGAAGCAGGTAGATAACTCCAAGCAACTCAAAATGCAAATTGCATTAAGTTTTCCAGCATAATTACCCCTTCTTGAACAGCGTCTAAGCCACCGTTCAGCCAAAACAAATTCCGGTAGCCAGCCTTATACAATTGTTCACACGCAGCCAATGATCTGAAAAATAATCGAACATACGTTGATGAAGCAATTCTCCTATGCGAGTTCTCAAGGTACTAGTTGGACCATATTTGCTTCTAGAATTAGTTATAAATGAAAACATTCATTGAACTTGAGAAGGAAAAAGGAAAGTCTAAACTAGGGCTACAATCGAAGCTGTGAGGTTCAGAGAAAATCACAGGGATAACAACTCACCGCAGACCCTTCTGACACCCAACAATTATGTTCGCAGTTTTAGGGATTTTGGCCACCACATCGGGCATAAATCGCCTGCTCCATGCACAGGAATTCAATGGTAAAATTAGCCCGTCCCAAAACCATTACATTCGTTTCCTGAAAGTTAATATGAAACAAAGATAAAGATCAAAAACACAAAATTCTCAGTGCCCGACCTGATTTCATAATCAAGCAGAAAGGAACTTGGGCAGTTTCAATCTGCACTTACTCATTGTATTTCATTACTGGAAGACCGTTCCACCAACCTCCTGCAGAATATTTGTCACATCAATTGAAGGTCTGAAAGAAGGAGTAGAGTCATCTAAATCAAATAGGACTGCCACAAAGAGGATACCATAACAATAATGTAATTCACGATTCAAAGAGAGATGTAAGAGGGGCAACATACCCATAGTAAAGTTAGAAAACTTCTTCGACAAGGATGCGGGGTCCACACTTTGATCAACATCATAGATCGGAATGTGAATTGAATCCTTCACGGACACCTGCAAATTATGAAAAAGCAACCAACGCAAATAATACTTGTTATACTTCGGGACGTCCACCCTCGAGAATAAATCAGAAAAATGGTAAGAGAAGGAAACGAGAACATGAAATACGCTATCAACGGTAGCAAATGAAACCTCCATAAGATGGTGAAACATACCCTGCTGTGCTCATTTGAAGGCCGAACATCTAGAAAAGTATAGTCATTCAACTGCATCGCATACCCAGCTTCTTTTGCAGATAACTGTTTCACTTTCCCCTCTTTCACCTGTTCCCACTTATCATAATGAGAGAACATTGTATGCAACACGCTTACGACGTTTGTGAAACACATTCTCTTAAGAACAACCATTAACTTGAACAACACTTTCATTTAAATCACTAAATCCTGGAAATAATTTGCGTTGCACGTCAATCTAGACATAAAAGTATCAAGCATGAGTGAGCCTCTCCAGAGAGCAATACAAGTAAACTTCCACTCTATGTATACTTCTGAGAACCTGTAGATAAGAAACATAAAACATTTCTGAATGAAAGAATCAGCATGTGTCCAGATCCAATCAATAGCTTGTTTCAGCCCCATTCAATGCCAGCTTTGGTACATTTCAAGGGAAATTATTGATGAGGAAAGGAAATTACAGAAACTTTTAGATAATTAAAGGAACATCAACGACAACACGTCGTGAACGTGAACATGAATATGTTGCATACAATATTAAACATGTCGACAATACCTGTTGCTCCCACCGCTTTTCAGCTGCGCGCATCTCTTTCATTTGTTCTGCCAGGTCTACTTCGCACCTTACTCGACCCTGCTGACACTAGTATGTTTAGATTATTTCTCCAGTCTTCACATGATCATCAGTCTCAAGAATATCGAGCATTGTTCACATAAACCAGAATTGATCTTATGAAGAAAAAGAGTTAAATACCCCAGTAGAAGGCGAAGCCCGCTGAAGCGCAAGGTGACGCATTGAAGCGGCACGAAAATTTGCATGCGAGGCTGAAACAGATGCTAGTTGCGAAACCAGACATTTTTGAACAGGGAAACTTAAAGGTCTGTTGTCTCGCGATTGAAGGGCACCGGAGGTCACAGCCACCGTGGATTTCAAAGACAACCCTGCCATTGCCATATTTAACGGCTTCGGAGGGTCTCAGCTTCCGCTCTTAATCCGCCTTAAATTTCTGCAATCAACCCAGCGCGCACAAACACACATACACACACATCAACAACAGAATATTTATACAGCCATTAATCACAGTGTTAGAAAAAGAACCCGATTCTAGCTCCCAGAACTGACGACATAATGGATGCATTTATGCTGTAAGCATAAGCTTACTTCCATAAACATTAACAACATAAAAAGGAAGTGCAAGAGTTGCAGGTTCAGCACTGGGAAATAAAAGATCGTGTGAGCCTTGAGGGTCTCAAAAAATGAGGTATAGAGATGTAAATTTATCGTCTCTTTTACACCCTCTAGTTAACAAACGCCCCTAAGATCATTCCCGTACCTATCTGAATCACGGTTCACATATTACCCCTTCATTTGCTTTTGAAAATTCGTGCAACTATTATACTTCAGGGCTCCAAACAGAATTCCGTTTCAGAGAAGGTAAATTACATTTCAAATTTTCCAAAACCTGAGGAGCACCATTCAAACATTTCTACCTAGTAAAGCAAACAAAGACGACGACAACAACAACAAAAACAACGACAACAACAACAAAAACAAGGAATTCTGCTTCCAAAACCTCGCCACTCAAGAAACGAGATTTCTAATAGAAGTAAGCCACTACAGGGACATCCTATCTCAGAAAACTCACTTCCTATTCATAAATGGGACAAATCAGGAAAAAAGCAGCTCTTCCAGTGCCCTGTAGTGCCAGGGGCAATTCTACGCTATCCCAAGGCTCTTAAACCCCAGAGATAAGTTCCGCACCGAAACAATCCCGAAATGCAAAGAAGATATACAAGCAATTTGCCAAAAAATCAGCTCACGTCACTTGCAAAGAGTGACAGATTCTAAGCCTCTCAAGAAATAAGACTCACTTAGAAACGCCATGGTGAGTCAGAGCTCAGGCACCGACATTCCCGAGCAAGTGCTCACGAAAAGGAGTAAAAGGAACACGCCACAAAACACAGAGCGTACCTCACAGACTGCGACTACGAAAAGCTCGAGGAAGGGCAGCAATGGCGGAAAGCAGCAGAAACTCCAGAACGACGCCGAAGCTGGCTCGTGTGGGGGGGGGGGGGGGCACAAAACAAAAGCAAAGCAAGAGCAAATCAAAGCAAAGCATTCTATCTGTCTATCCTCATCCCCGTCCTTCGTCCAGCTAGCCCTGCTCTTTGCCACCCTGGTCCTTTCGCCCCCGCCCATTGGTGGAACGCCGACGCCTGATTACGTGGGCAATCCCGCGTGGCATGTCTAGTTATCGAACACAGATCAGGAATCTGTTGGGGGTCTGGCACGTCGTGACACTGGTTGGCTCCAGATACTTTGTCAATCACTTAAACCTTTAATTAATATTTGCCTGTGTGTGTAAACATATATATATATCTGTATCAGGGAATGTTAAATAGACCCAGGCTTTTACTAAATTTATCCACTCATCCTTACTATCATGAAAAGGAGAAAAAAAATTACATTTTAAATTAATTTCTCCACTACTAGATTGGAAACCAATCAAAACCAACCTCATTTATCATGTTCTTCATCATGCATAAGTTGATTTAATAAAAACTTGGGTCTATTTAACATTCCTATAAATATATATATATATATATATATATATGTGTGTGTGTGTGTATGTATATGTATATATACCATTTGACACTCTTCAATATGTATTGGCTTACACTAAGTTTAATTGATGGATGTCATAATTAAAACCTAATAAAAACACAATTAAATTCTGAAGCCATCAAACCAATGGTGTTTTCATGATTTTGGGGAACTGTGTAAATATATACAAAAATAAATTGAGATTGGAAAACAAATAGGGTGTTTTTGCAACTGTACTGATGTTTGTCAACATGTATTCTGTATTTTTGAAGTATAACTGAGATAATTACTTAGGTGACCAAAATTATCAGGTATTGTTTTGGAATCTTGCATGTTATGGTTTTATCTGCAGTTGTTAGGCCTGATTTTAATTTAAGCGTTCATTCATCAATGCATGTTCAACTTCAACCTTTTTTGTAAATTTATGAATCCACAACTTTTATGCATATAGTAAAAGCACTAAAAGTTGGAAATTAATTTAGTAATCAATAAAATAAATCAATGATTTAATTGATAGATATTGAAGGTATCAAATTGTGCCTTTTTGAGTTTATTTTTGCTAAAATCAACTCCAAACTTCTTCTTGCATGTGCTCATATCCTTTATTTTTCTAATCTACCTTGTTTTGTCTTATTTATGGCCTTACAAAGTAAGTATAAGCTTACTTTGTACAAAGGTAGCATTTACATCTTTAATTTTAGTTTCTTTTGGACTATTGTCTAATTTCTAAGATAATTTTCTACAAAATTTGAAGTAAGATCTTCTATAATATAAAAATATCTTTATCTTTTTTACCTATTATTTTTGTTATATCACAACAACTATCTTAAGTAGTTGGTTTCAAGTAGATGGATTCCACAAGGAAGGATTATTTGGAGCAGTGATTTGAGTTAGGAACAAGAGAATCAGAGAGAGAGATGGGAATAAAGGCTAGGAACGTTGTTGTATTACATGAAATCATGATCAAGAATGCATTAAATACCTAATTGTGGAAGGTACAATGGAAATTGTAACAACAAAAATCTTGACTCTAATAGAATATTAAATAATTCTAATTAAACCTTAATAATATTAAACAAGCTCTAATCAAAATTTAAAAAACCTTAAAGAAATTATAAAAGAAACAATAAGAAATCTTAAAAGAATTCAAAAGAAATTTTTAATAAATCTTAAAAGAATCTTTAAAAAATCCTAAAAAAATATTAAAATAATTACAAATATATCTTAAATAAATCTCAATTAATTCCTAAATTAATCTTAATTGAAATCTTAATGGATTTCAATCAACCCTTAAGCCAAATCCTAAATCCTAAAAAAATCCTATATCCTAAATCCTAAATAAATCCTAAACCTTAAATCTTAAGAAAACCCTAAATATATCCTAAATCCTTGTTCAATTCTAAATTCTATCCAAATTTTGATCAAATCCTAAATAAATCTAAAATCCTAAACCATAAATATTAAGCAAACTCTAAGTCCTAAACCCTTAAAAAATCCTAATCCAATACCTAAATCCTAGTTCAATCTGAAATTCTAATCAAACTTTAATCAAATCCTAAAAACTAATCCAACCCTAATTTTAAACCGAATCCTAACCAAAATTTTAACCAATTCAATCTAATCCTAGTACAATTTAGAACCTCAATATCTATCAATTAAATTGTCAATTTTGCTTAAAATTTTATATACTTCTCAACAACTAAATTAGCAACAAGCATACAAAATTTGAAGATACTTGCACTTACTAAATGGAAGGAAAATCCTAAAATCCGCTGAGGTATTGGTTGTCCTCCTACTCCAATCTAAATGATGAACTTCTAATGCCAATATATCTTTTTTAAATTGTTCAATTATTCTCAAATTTTACATATGTATAGCAAATCAATTCTGTTACCCTCACACATAAATTTCACTCTAATTAAACTAGTAGATTGCTAAAGGTCTTAGAAATCCTAACTATGCCTCAAAGTCTCATTTTCAAGATTTTAATCTTCTTGAAATTCAATAATCTTCAATTGAATCTTTTGATCAAGCTCAAACCTACAACAAACACTTTAGAAAACTACTTACAAAATTTCTCAAAATTTGAACTATAGATCTACTACCAAAGTCATGAAATGCTCTAAAACTTAATATTTTTTTTACTTCACAAATTCTAGAATCATCCAAAACAACTATGACTTTGCAAATCTCTTACAAAGTCATTATATAATCAAATCACTCAAAATCAATACTCAAAGAAAGTCTATCAAGTCTTCTTTCAAACTCCACTCTTTGATTTGCCAAAGAATCCCAAAGTTGCTATAAGTACTCGATTTTGAGCCTCAAGGTCTGATTTTGACCCTAAGTTGATAAGTGGTCCTTTGTGGATATCAAATTTTGTCTTTTTGAGATTATTTATATTTAAATCAACTCCTAACTTCTTGAATATGTTCATATTCTTTATTTTTCTAATCTAACTTGATTTGTCTTATTTATGGCCTTACAAAGTAAATAGAAGCCTATTTTGTAAAAAAGTAACATTCACACTTTTAGTTTTACTCTCTTTTGGACTATTGTCTATCTTTTAAGATAATTTGCTACAAAATTTAAAGTAAGACCTTCTATAATATAATAATTTCTTCATCCTTTTCACGTATTAGTCATATTACATCATGACAACATTAAAAGTCAAGATGAAAGCTAGAAACAAAAGAAGTGAGGATTGAGAATGTAGAAGGTTGGAATTAAATTTATAATTATAATGATGGTTTCTACATATGATCTATTTTAGTAATGATGGTTACAACAAAGTGAGTCTATTTAGTAAATGGGTGAGTCATTTTAACATTCAAAAGATTACTTAATAGTATAATATGCCCAATCTTCATTTGGTATATATTATTAACTAGTGTTCCTGGCTAGAGTGAGTGGAAACTCTAGTTCATGACATGGTTGCATTGGCAGTCGCAAAGGACTCTAGATCACCGACAGTGCATCTCGGACTGCAGGTCACTGACACTCTTCAATACCGCCAACAACTCCTGCTATCCGCTGTACAACCCTTTCCATTGATCATGCGGCTCAGTTCTCGAAATAGTGTTGAGCTAATGCGTGAGGACTGCGTGAGCAAATGGAATCGCATGGGTGTCATGGGGTTAGATTGGACAGAAGCGGCGCCTGAGCAGGTGACGGTTCCTCCCGAAAACCACCTCTTGCTCGACGTATCTTTCGCCCATTCACGCTCGCAATAGCGCTGTTTACAGGTAGGCGATGAGAGATCAATCACAATGGGAGTAACGAACTGAATGGTGGTTATAGAAACTGCTCGATATACATCACCCATGTTCCGGTCATGCATTGCTGAGTGTGCCTGTAACCGCCCGATGATCCTCATTTAGTTTCGAGAACCTGTGTTCATGGACTCCCACCCAAGTTCGTTGGCAATGGAATCTGGTCGTAAAGCACACTATATGCACTTCGACGCTACAATGAAACAGTAGCTCAAAGCAGCAGTAGGGTCAAATGGAGGATCCTATCGTGATTCCCACCACTAGATCAGTGCAGAAGCTGGTCTCGGAGAAGAGAAACTGTCCCAAGGTTGTTGAGGCTCCGGGTAATGGCTTTAGCAGCAGACAAAGGGAGAGACTACAGTCCACAGATTTGAAGGAGAGGATTGCTGTGTGGCAGAGCAGGAGGGACGAGCAGAGCAGCCTGCTCGAGTCGCTTAAGGTGGGGGATGAGTGGTCACAATCCAGTTAAGAAAATAGACTTGAATCGGTCATAATTCATAATTGGTGATTGAACTTTCTATGGTGCTCAGTGATGGTGACGAGAGCACGGGAAAAGCATACCACTTCACCTGCATGGGTTTTAACTCTTCTAAATTCTTTCTGTAATTCATTATGGATTGATTCTTGCCGGTATGCATCATTCAAGCAGAGATGTTGTCCACATGGAGTTGTATTCAGTTCAGAAAACCTCAGCTGTGGTGCACTTCGAAGCAGATGATGTGTACCGTCATCCACTCGATCGCTTGAGCATATCATAATCTCCTGAGTGTAATGTTTGGATGGTTCGTTACTGGGGTCTATGTAAAATGCATATTGTGCAGTCTAAATTTATTTTAATATATATATATATATATATATATATATATATATATATTTGAAATTGAAGCTTGAATGTATGACGACCATCTTACACCAGACGTTATTGCTTTAGCACCACTGAAGACGGATTTAAAGTCTCATGACATAAAAGTGTTTTGAAAAACAAAATTGTGTTGACTCAGAGCCAGAAAATCAGCTGGTTTTAAGTTGAAGCAGAAAAGAGTAATGAAACTTGTTCGGTCTTGTTTCGTAATATCCCTAAGTATCAATGGGAGAAAAATGGTTTCTTTGATAACAAAGCATGATGTTTTTTATATGAGAATACCGTTGTTTTTAGTTCACTATAAATGAAAAAATTACGATGTTTGAAATCATGCCAGCAACAGTTCATTTTAATTTATTAACACATCAAATTAACACATGAATATAATAATAACAGCCATACGCATAAACAATCAAAATTTAATCTGATGAACACACCATTGTTATGCCATTGGCATCCATTAGTTTTGCTGAAGATTACAACACTAAACCAAAGTAGGTGTTCCGTGCAAATTCAGGAATTGTTGGACGCAGATTTGAACGCTTTAAAAGCTGGAGATCCACCACCTTAGTTTTTGGGAAATGTATACATGAATTTGACAGAAGCTTATTTGACCAACAGTACATCTGCTGATGGCACAGTAGTTTTATTTTACTTCAGAAGTAGCATTAAATCATCGAAACGGCATTCCCTAACAGTCGATCTACACAACAAAGTCGTAGTTGTTATAGTTAAAATAAACTCAACACACATAGTTTATTCTAAATTTCGGTTAGTAAGAAATTCTGAGTTCTTAACAGTGCAGAGTTAGCAGATGCTACTTTTGTGACTTTTCGAAATAAATGCCTCAATTATGCTTCGAAAAACATACTCTTCTTAACGTCCCCTTTTTTTTTACGTTTACTTCTCATAATCAACACTTATCAGCAGAGTAGCAAGAACAGTCACTGAGTAGACTCTGAATACAAAGACCGAATATTCTCAAACCTAACCAGAAATCAAAACTAAACCAAAAAATTTGAGTAGAATCTTAGCCCTTTGTTTTCCACACGAGAATGTAAGCTCAAATGTCAAGAAATCGAATTCCAATACTGTATTCAAAAGCGGAAACACATTACGTGGTTATTTGAACTTAAGATGTTACCCAGCTAGGTAATAACATCCAAACTAAGTGTTCGACTTGACACGTTCATACCAGTTCTCGCTGCATCTTCTCTATCTTATGTACAATTGCGTGCAGTGGAAAAATACTACTCGTGGCTATTAATTGTTTTGAGAGCTGCCGTACGCAAGAAAGAAAATGACCATTACAGCTAGAGTGGATAAGATTCATAAAATGTACTGAGTCAGTAGTATTGCTCAAGGCATACCATTCTTGGCGCCCAACCGTTTCCATCTCCGGGGCGGAAACTTTTTGTCTCTGTAACCCCTCTGCGGGGCGGCAGGCGTTGCCCAGTTTTGCTCGTTCAAAAGATGAGAGCCCTTGAGCTGCTCTACTGAAAGAGGATGTTCAACCCAATTTTTTGTGTCGAGGAACGCTTCTACATCCCGGTAGACTTGAGCTTCCTCTGGTGTCAGTTGATGAGACCAGTCGATGCGACTGGACTCACTCGCCCCTGGGCCACTGCTGTTGAACTCTCCGAAATATACATTGTCATGCGCAAACAGAGGTCCTGAATCTGTGACCCAGTCCACCCAGCCCTCGGGAGCAATGTGCTCCCCCAGTGTTGTGTCAATAAACACAACCTTTGCATACTCTCTCCACGGACGACCCAGGTACGTGAGCCCTGTCCCAGTGGAGTTGTAGGTTGCTGGATCATACCCTGTTATATTAGACCTCAATATTACGAATGTTGAGTTGGGTGTTATAAACGTCGAGTTTGAAGCTTCTTGGCAATCATCCTCGCACCACCTGCTTTGCGCAGTTATGAATCCCTCGCCTGTGAAACGCAACATCAAGCTGTTAGTTGAAATTATGAAGAAAGAACAAAACCTGTTGCAAAACACACTGTGACTAAATAGCAAGGCCAATGCAGTGCGATCTTCTTCTGGGCTGAGTCAATTTACCAAAATAAACATGAAATGTTGCAAGACACCATCAATCGGGTTTCGTACTCGAGAAAATAAGCAGACGAATAATCTATGACCACGTCAAATTGACCCATGAGCTTGATTACAAGAGTATGGTGCAAGAATTTCACGTACCTCTGGAATGAATTGTGCAATTCTCAAAAACTGCTGATGCATATCCAAGTATGAAATCAACGTTCCCTTCAATTCGAGAATCTTTGTAGTAGTGCTTTCCTTGATCTGCATACAAGGTGTCTTGCCATCCCAAGAAAATGCAGTCATAGAATGCACACTTATCACCAGAGACCCGTACAGCAGGTGCTTGGGAGTTGTAGTCAAAATCTCCTGGTTTAGGAGAGCTGTTTTCAAACGTGATGCCCTTAGCAATAAAATTGGAAGCTTCCACAATCACAGTAGGACAGTCTAAGATGGTGTAGTCTGACCCATCCGGCTTCTTGTCACAAGCCTTTCTGTTGAATGTTAGAATTGTACTCTCCGCGCTCTCGCCCAAGAATGTGATATAATCCTGTACGCAAAATCGTTAACATGTTAGCCTCAACACAAACAACCAGGCAAGAAAACCTCTGTTGTCTACAAGAAAGTCCGAATTAAGTACGCTCAGTTCATTGCAGCTAGAAAGACTGTCAACAATCAGAAATCAAGCTTATTCTGGGAAATTCACATACAGACCTCGTGTGTTGGACTAAAAACAAATCTTGCCAACAGACTCTCCAAAACCATCGTGAATTGGTTGGGAAAATCAGAACTATCGTCCTAAAGATAGCATTGAGGTAGGAATGTAAGAAAGCCGTACCTTGCCCTCTGGAACAATGACAGGACCGTAATATACCCCCGGTTTGATGAAGATCACCCAGCGCACGTAATTCCACATGGGAACTGCATCTACCGCTGCTTGCACCGATACGAAGTGATCCGGGTGCCCATCATTAGAGACAACCAAAACCGTTTGGATCCCATCTTGGCCATCCACGGCATCCACAAACGTTTTCTCAGCGAAATTGAGCGGCTCTTGACGTGCTCTCAAGTCATCCCCGCCAGTGCTTGGACGAGTCCATGCCGCTGCTACGCAAGGGATGACTAAGATTACCCAAAGGAAGGAAATGACGTAATTCATGCAGCATCGGCAATGCCTCCTCTGTCCAACTCTCAACACCAACATGTGTCACTCCACACACATAAACTATCTCTAATTCACAATCTGCTCTCAACCCGCACCAGATCGTCAAACCAGACAGAGGCAAAAACGATGGCGAGATAATTTCTCCTAAATGTGCACAAAGCCTTACAAAACGAACAATATCACGCTAGGACAAAATCCCGTCGCGACGAAAAAAACTCTCCCAACGTAGAAACCCGAATGCATCTCCCCCAGAAAAAAGCTGAAATTCAACGAAGGTCAAAGAATTGTCTCCAACCCCCGCCTACTAGATTCAGTTTTCACAATCCCAACACTCACGACCACGAAATTGATTCGAGAAAAGCTCAAAAACCATCGCCGAAACACGAAGGAGAAGACACAATTGTCGTCGTTAGAGTAAGACTTTCATGAGGAGAGCCTCAAAGAAAGCTCATAAACAACATAGTCACCATTAGTGAGTTCGTGACCGACCCCCCAAGGCTGTTCGTGACCCCATTGCGGCGAACATGCGGGAACGTTCGTTCCTTATAACTTTTCTTAAAAATCTTCCTTGGAAGTATCGAGTTCCCATGTTCTAATGTGACCCGCCATCCCCAGTAGTTGGCTCAATGATTGATCGACACCTGAATACTACCTGGAAGCTGCTTAGTAATATAGTCCATTGCTACCGGCAGATGTGGGTCTCTTGGCATCCTTTCCACGGTGGCCACAAGCCGTTGGGATTGGATACGTTCAATAAGTATCTGACCTACGTGGCAAGTTTTAGTGGGACGGTTATGGGAAGATCGCGGGAATGGGCGATGGTTATGGATTTAGGCCTTCCTTTCTGATGTTCTCTCACCAGTAATGGCGTTTTAAATGGAGTGCTGGACAGATAATTGTGTGACATGGATCGTTCTTTCTTTATACATCAATAATAGGTTTCCTTTTGTCTTTATGAGAAAATATGAATAGGTGGTATTCTATATTGGAAATTAAAATTAAAAAATATGAACAGGTGGTTTTCTACATTGGAAAATAGTCAGTTTTATTAATTTACATATTTCAGATCTTTTTAATCAAAAAATTGCTAGCTTTATTGAAGTAAAATTATATAAAAATATAGATTATAAAATGCAAAAAGAAAAATAATAAAGTCCTTTATTTATTGTTATTAACAATTTTGAGCTATTTTATTTCAATTTTTTCATTCAATTTTAAAATATTAAGAGCTTTATTGTGAAAATTTAATTTTCATCTCATTTATTTACAAACCTCGAAGTCCAAAATTGACAAATTTGAAAATATTTTTTATGCACTTTTTATTAGAGAAATTAAAGTTTAAATAAAGTCTCTTTAAAAAAATGCAAGGTAAATTATTTTGATAAAATATAAAAAGCATGTCATTTTGACTTACAAGTTTAAATTCATAATGTTGCAAAAATATACTAATAAATATTATAAATAGAAATAGAATTAAATTATATAAATTTTAATTAATTTTAAGAATATATAAAAGAGTTATAATGTTTTGTTATATGAGATATTTAATTCAAAAAACAAGGTTTTATTAACATTTAAATACTAAGTGTGAATTTTAAAATTATTTTGATAAATAAAAAAAGTAAAATATTATTTATGAAGTTGATAGGTCATATAAATAGATTATTTATAATTATCTTTTTATTTTTTATTTTTTAAATTTATTATTTTAATTATAAAAATAATACATAAAAAATATAATAAATATATATATATATTACAAGCATCAATATTTTTTAAGTCATGAATTTAAATAAAGAATATTGCAATGATAATCAAGTAACAAAAGTTTTTGATTGAATTACAAAGATTATTTTGACTTATCAAATTCATATATAAAAAATATCTTTGACTATCATATTATTTAATATGATTCTAGAAATAAAATTAAAATTAACATTGATAGATGTTATAAAACATGACTGGTTTGTATCAAAAGTTCAAAATCCTTCTAATCTATAACAACATAAAACCTCATCATAAGGTAGGACAAACTTGACTAGAACAAAATTAAATAGAAATAAACAAAATGGAACACAAAAGACAAAATTGATCAACCAAAGTTAGAACAAAACAAAACAAAACAGTAAGATACAAAATCCAACTGTATTAAAAAATAGGGTTCAAAGCCATATCTAACAAGATGCTTCAAAAGGCCTTGGTTAGTTTTATTTATACTTTATTCTACTACCTTGGACTTACTAGAATGTTCTTAGATGGTAGATCTTACCTAGACAACTGCCCTAAACCTTTTTTAGAAGGTTCCATGGTATGTCATATCTAAATAATTGCCCAAAACTCTTTCTAAAATATTCTATGGTGGATCTTATCTAGTCCATTAACCTAATCCCAATTTTAGAAACTTCCATAACTTCTCAAACATGGTTTTAACTATCTATCCTTATATAACATGGTGTAGATAAGATAATTGTATAGATAGATAGAATCATTGAAGTTTTTAAAATTGAGGTTAGGTGAGTGAATTAAATAGGATGCATTCTGGAACAATTTAGAAAGAATTTAGGGCGGTTATTTAGGTAGAGCCTACCATGGAACCTTCTAGAAAAGGAATTTAAGGTGGTTATCTAGGTAGAGCTCATAACCTATGAACGTACTAGAAAATACGACAAGGTATAAATAACTAGCAATGGCCTTTTGGATCATTTGGTCAGGTATGGTTTGAGATCCTTTCTCTTAGTAAAGGTTGATTTTGCATCCTTTTGTTCCATTTTGTTCTGTTCTGTTTCCGTTTACTCAATTTATCTTTCATGTCTTATTTTATTTAGTTCTATTCAATTCAGTTCTAGTCTATTTTGTCTTATTTTGTGATGAGATTTTATGTTACTATGGAATAGAAGGATCTTGGATTTTTGAGATAGTCTGGTCATGTTTTATTGATATCAAAGCAAGTGTTAGACTATTTACTTTTGGTAGCATATCAATAGTCATCATTTAATCCAAGGTCAGTTGTTGTGGTCATATTGGGTACTGTGTTGAGGCTACTATGAGTTATTCTTAAAGAGTCAAACAGGAGGTAAAAAGATATTACAATAGTAGAGTTTAGTGGAGAAATTATAATATGAGAGATATGGTAGAGCAATCCTAGATAGAGGCTCAAATACAATACCTCTTAGGCTAGATAGCTACATTGTAAGGACAAATAGAAGCCTCAAAGACAAAAGAGTCGACATCCACTAGGTTGAAATTGAATTAAATACATATTGTGGAACTTGAAGGCAAGAATATGTATATCAATGGCTCTTTAACATGCGACAATACCTCCAATTATTTAAAGGAAATACCACTGAAGGAATTATATATACAGCCAGCTATTTTAGAGATGCGGCAACTATTTGGTGGCGACATTAAGTTCAAAACTATAGAGCTTAAGGTAGATTTTGTAACTAGAAGAAGTTTGAGACCAATTTTACGAATCAATTTCAGCCCATTGATGCAAAAAAGATAGCATACGATCAGTTGGTAAATCTTATACAAACTAGGTTGGTATAAGATTATATCTCTCGATTGTCCCTATATCTCTAAATTGACAATGTTTTAGAGGCAAAGATGATGCATTGATTCCTATGAGATTTGAAACTTGGAGTCTAGTGAGATGTAGAGCTTAATAATCCAGAAACATTTGAAGAGGTAATTTGGACTACACATAAGGTCAATGCTATAGATTTTAGAAATATGACCTATAGCACAAAGTCTTATGTTGCTATCTAATATTACTATACAACAACTAATACCAATGGAGATTGATGCCTTACAAAGATCATTGATACCACAAAGTCGACAAATATTAGTACAAAGACGATTGTATTTCTATTGTTGAGAGCTGGGCCATCAGATTGGAGATTGTCCAAAACATCAGAGTGCAAGTATTAGTAAGACAAGGTGGGTTCAAAATCTTGAAACTCACCAAGCTAATAATGAGTCCGAACACAAAAATGGTCCTCCCCAATAAAAGCACTAGGGACTAATACTGAGAATAGCTATTATCTCTCAAAATCAAATAGCATAATCCGAGACAATTATAAAAAGAAACAATTGGTGCATCTAATGGGACTACTAAAAGGACAATCATGTTGAGTGTTTGTAAATTGTGGCTCTACATAAAATTACATCTCAATTGAAATTATCGATTGACTTGGAATTAAAACTAGTGAAATCAAGGAAAAAAGTATATACTTTACAGATGACCAAGAGAATGTATTGAGTGAGACGTATGAAGAAAAAATCTTAAGATTGACAAACACCTACATCGTAAGAGAGAGATTTAAGGTAACAAAGAAAAGATATGATATTATCCTTGGTATACTATGGCTAGAGATGGGAATTAAGAAAGTTGATTGAATAGTAAGGACAATCTTTTTTAAAGATAGAAGATGCAAGGTGACTCTTTGTACCTCCATACTAAGTAAAGAAGAAAGATAGCATCCAATTAAAGACCTACTTATAGAAACAACCTTTATAAAGAAGCAACTATAATATGAGCCACTAATATACATGGTAGTTCCAAATCTTACGTCAATGGTGGAAAAGACCGTTGAAGGGATAGAATATGTAGAGCAACTCATACATGAATATTAGGAGGTCTTTTCGATTGACCTACCTAATGGCATATCTCCTGATCGAGGTGCCTTCTTTTAAATAGATCTATTGCTTGGAGCCAAACCAACAAGTCAATCAATTTATTGCCTAGTACTAAAAGAACTTGAAGAGCTATGGAAAATATTGAACAAATTTTGGAGAAAGGTCTCAGTTGAGAGAGTACATCATTATAGGAAGCACCTATACTCTTTGCACTTAAGAAAGATGGTGGATTTTGCCTTTGCATTGACTATCGAGGTCTTAATAAGCAGACTGTTAAAAATGCATATCTACTTCCATACCTAGATGATCTTCTTGACCAACTACAAAGTAAGACCATCTTTAGTAAATTAGATCTTTGAAGCAAATATTGACAAATACCTATTGCAAGAGAGGATGTAGAAAAGATGACATTTTTTACGTATTATGGACATTTCAAATGGCTGGTTTTATTCTTTGGTCTTACTAATGCTTCAACTTCTTTCATAGGTTACATGAACAGATTGTTTCGAGACCTTTTGGACAAGTATGTGGATGTCTTCATAGATGATATCTTTGTATATAGTAAAATCTCTGAAGAATATGAACATCACCCATGAGAAGTGCTGCAATGATTGCAAGATAGTTTTTTTTATTGCAAGCAATCAAAATGTGAATTGTGGAAGTCAAAAGTCACCTTTTGGAGGCATGTAGTGTCCTTCAAAGACATATGTATGGAATAAGATAAGATGACAATAGTGGAGGATTGGCCAATACCTAAAAATGCTTATGAAATTCGCTCATTTTTAGGCCTTGTTGGATATTATTGTCATTTTATTCAGTGATTTGCTGACATTGTTGCCTCGTTGACAAATCTTATAGAGAAAGGTGCTTCATTTAAATAG